AAAGTATTCAGGTGCTGTGTAACACAGCTGTTTATCCTGTTTTATTTAATGTAGTGTCATTGTTTGTTCTGCTTTATTCCTTTCAAATCTGATTTGTATGAGTCTTTTATATTGTCTTTGTGAACATGATTCTACAGTGAACCCTTGCTATAACGCGCTTCACTTTTTTAGTGCAGTTTTTTATGCTTTTTTTTTTTTTACAGTGTTTTACTGATTGGCTGTAGGCCCACATCAATCAATCTCCTTCGTCCCTCGTCTCTGTCCAGTACAGAATGGGTTTGGCTGGGCAAATTTCACGGTGGCCCAGAAGTGTCACAACAAAACAAAAGCCACAACACAACACAATAAGCCACAACACAACCAAATTAACCACAACACAACACAATCAGCCAAAACACAACATAACAGCTGCAACAGAAGTTCTTTTCTTTTTTTTTATACTGTGAATTGCGCAACCACACGAAGTGGGCAGAAGCCGGAGATTGTTGGAAACAACTTGAAAGTAAGTAAAATACTGATGGCAAATAGTGTCCATTAATCTCGGTATATTAAAGCGGTTCTTAACTTTGGTTTACAAATAAAGAGTCATTGCTTGTTTGACTTGTTAATGCAGACACTTCCGTTGCAAACAACTTCCGTTGCATTAGCCGCAACACAACACAATTAGCCGCAACACTACAAAATAAGCTGCAACACAACACAACGGCTGCAATGGAAGTTTTGGTTGTGTTGTGGCTTATTGTGTTGTGTTGTGGCTTTTGTTTTGTTGCGACACTTCTGCGCCACCGTAAAATTTAGATGTTTGCAAATTTTCTCCACGACAAAACCCACAAAGTCGACTAAACGTTCAGCACTGACAAAGGCACCTGCGGACAGGTAGAGGCAGAGGAAGATGCTAACTGTTGCAGAAAAAGTTAAACTTCTGGACATGCTAAAGGAAGGTAGAAGCTACGCAGCTGTAGGGCACCACGGCCTTCAGTAGAAAAAGACGCTGCAGTGGAGCGGAGTCAGCACGAAGAGGCACAGTCAGAGGAACTGTGAAATACGCATCAGTCACAATGTGTCGAACCTCGTAGGTTGATTATTAAAATTATTATTTTACAGTATTTCTAAAAACTATCATAGTTATTTGTAAGAAAACATTTCTATTTTTATTTCTTAAACAAATGCTTGGGCCTGAAAATAGGTTTTGATCTTTGGTTTCAATAAAAATTGTAAAAAAAAATAAAGCTGACTACTTCGTGGATTTCGCCTATCGCGGGTTCTTTTTGGAACGTAACCCCCGCGATAAACGAGGGTTCACTGTACATTCATTTTATGATGAGCTTTAAAAACATTGCTGTTGTTGGTAAAACATCTTTAAATTACCTCATATCAGAAACTCTGATAGTCGAAATTGTTTCTTTAGAA